CAATTACAGAACAATGCATTTTTATAGTGTTTTATAGCAGCTGGTTGGATCCAAACTTACATATTTTCAACAGTCATGTCCTCAGTTGAACTACTTCTGTCTGGAAAAGCACCTGTTATCAGCACTACTGGAACAGAGTGACTATCTGACTCTTAGTCTATGTAAACATTTAGCTCACTGCTTTTAGCATCACTTCATTCAAATATGATCCAAGCTCCCAGTTTGTGGAGAGGCTTGCTAAAACAGCACTGCGGTCCATTGTTTTGCCATGAGAAAGGCATCCTTGAATAATTAGCGGCCTGCCAGTGGAATGGCCTGTGATGTAACAGAACTGAGATGTTTGGCATTATAAGAATGTCCCATTTCCCTTTGACACTGGCACTTCACAGCCTTTTCATGTGTAGTCTAGCATGGTACATCCTAGGGTGCAGTGGACCTCCCAGCAGCCTCATCATCCCTGACACAGTTTTCTCACYATTCACCTATAGTTGTGCATCATTTGTCCCATACATTCCCCTTAGTTTTTAATGCATTTATTTATTTTGGGTAAAAAAAAACAATAACATATGATTTTCAATAATATAAGGAAATTAAAGTCCAGTTTCTTGAATGAATGCATATCTCCTATTGTCCATATATTTTGCTAACAGACACGGTTAATTACATGGCTGCACACCTCTTATCACAGTGGGACATAAGTGAATATTTATCATCACTGTTCATTTTTCCACCAAAGGGAGACATGTTGTCTTTCTTTCCACAATCCTTACCTCATTAGGGTTAACTGGTTTTCTTGTGCAGTTTTATTGCAAACATGGCAACCCCACAAATCAGCTTACACTCTAACCTCAGCAAGAATGGTATTTGGCCCGTTCGGCTGTAATTCATCCTGTATCACATTAATTTCTTTTTACTGTGTAGGCAGTGCAGGGGTTGCACATCAAACATTAATGTAATTACTTTCAAGTGCCAGTCATGAACAGTGAGAGTTATATTAAATAATAAAAAATACCTGTAATGATTTGAGGCTTTTTGCCTGCCAAAAGTCAGCAAACGTTGTGCCAGACACATTTAATTGTCTTTGACAACAGTACTACTGTTTGTAAATGTAATTAGTGGAACATGCAGGTTAGTAAACTGGTTAAATTGTTGCACATTAGCTCAGACACACACACTTTCTCTTAGGAATTCTTAGAAATGTTGTTGGAGCTGACAGACATGTCTGATGTAGTTCAACCCAACTTAGCTCAGTCTGCAGTGTCAGCACTCCATGGTTACTGTTTGGTCAGAAACATTAGTTTTGTACCTAATAGACCATTGCACAAAATATTAAAATGTATGTGTGCATATGTGTCTGTTGAACCCTAACTGTACTCATGATGGAAATCACTGTCTGCCTAGGCCTGTCACGATAACAAATTTTACTGGACGATAAATTCTCAGAAATTATTGTGATAAGCGATAATATTGTTGGAGACCAGTTTAAACTAATATAATGATATAACAACCCTGTTTACAGAAGTTTACATTAAAATTTACATAGTGTAAAAAGAATAAACAACTGTTGGCAATCCCAAGGCGTCGCCAGCTGTGTGAAGGCGTCAGAAAACTGAAGACGCTTCTCTGGCTAAATGTCTGTTCACAGGCTTTCATGCTTCAGGAGACCATGCACCTGGCAAATACCTGACACCAGAGTTCACTCTATGCTATGAAGTAAAAAAGAGGGAAACACGATGAAAACTAAAAAAGCATGAAAATGAAATTTATTGTCTTCTTTTTAATTGATCTTCCTCAATTTATTATATCATACAATTAATTGATTTGTTTATTGTGACAGGCTATGTCTGCTTGAAGCAGTCATCTGTGTATGGTACTTTAAAAAAATCACATTTATAGGAGAGTAACAGAGAACAAAAGTACAACTAGATACCGCATAGCGGTAACATAATGAACCCCGCACGCACAAATGTACCAGAACTCAGAAGTCTTTATTCCTAATAAATGTCATGCTACTGGGTGCATCCCAAAATTGTAGTGGTTTGGGAGTGGGTCTTTTTTTGTGGGGGGTGGGCATTGGTTGACCTGATGGATAGCCCCTCATCAGAGCTAAACAACAAAAGAAATCTGAAGCTCCTATGTTTAATAGTTTTTGAGCTATAACCATTTGTGTATGTCCAGATACCACTTTTTCAGATAAATTGGGGGGGGGGGGGGCACTGATTGGTTGACCTGATGGATAGCACCTCATCAGAGCTAAACAACAAAAGAAATCTGAAGCTTCAATGTTGAACAGTTTCTGAGTTATAAGCATTTTTGCATGTCCTGACACCCCCAATTTGAAAGGAGCCCCCTCCTCAAATATGGGGTCTATCGTAAAACCGTTGGCTGGAGCAGTGTAGGTCAGACTCATCTACAGTCCTGCCAAATTTCATGTTGATTGGTGCAGCCGTTTTTGTGCTACGGTTGACCAAAAATCACTGGAAAAAAAACCAGTACGAAAACAATATGACTCATGTACAGTATTTAAGATTTGTTGGAAAAATACTGTGTGATCAAAGTATAGTGTGTGTCTTCAAATATTCACCCATCACTTTAATGGAATAAGATGTTTTGTTTTCACAGAAGTAGATTTTTTACTGTTCTGTTCAGGTCCATTTCATTAACTGTTGCATAATGCAAATAAAATGTTGAAACTCCAAAAATATATATATTTTTCCACTAAATCTTCATAGAGTACAGTATTTAACTCACCAAGATTACCTGAGATGTATTTATCTGTTTATTTTCATATATTTATTTTGTGATTTCTCAAAGCAATCCATGGTCTGACCTCAGGTTGAATGAAAAGGCCACTACTAGTGATGTCTGAATGTTTGCATTACATTTGTGAATAATCGTTAAATGATGGAACTATAAATAGTTGGAAAGATAAAAGCAAAAAAAAACAAACAAAATAAAACCAAAATTAAAACCAAAAAATAAAAAAAAAATAAAAATAAATAAAACCACATTTCAGATGTCTGAAATTTGTCTAATAAAACCAAATTTCCCTCTGGGATCAATAAAGTATTTTTGAATTTGAATTGAATTGAAAGWTTTTTTTCCTGAGAGATGGGCATTTACTAATGTCTTTCTGCTTTGACATTGTGTTCACACACTCCTAAAATGCAGCAAGTTGCCAAAAACCTGCTTTCACATAGGTACTCCCTTTAGCTGATGATTATTTGACCAATGCATTCATTTAGTGCTGTTTTACTCATCCTATAGTTCAAATGAAAGTAAAAAGTTGTTTTTCAGACACTGTTATTTTTCCAGATAAGTATAGTGTAATTTGTCATGTCTTGTTTTTCATCTGATATTTGAATTTAATTGTAAACTGAGTGAGGATCAGGTATGTTTTCAAATCAAGCAATGAATAAAGCATAAACATTTGGAATAAAAATGGGACAAAACATTAGAGCTTGAGAGAGATAATTGGAAGTTGATTACATAAAAATGCATTTTTCTCAAGGACCACCAGTGCGCCAAGAAGATGATTGCAGCTACCAAGACCACAAGGATTTGTGTTTTYGTGTGTGTGTGTGTGTTACAATTTTCACAAGTGAATTATTTTCATTTTGTGCAGCTACAGAGCAGTCTTGCATATTTTGATTTCAGTTCAGAGCAGAGGTGCTGCCGGAGGCTGTTGGTTTGTTACCTGTCTGATGAAGGGGGCTGTCTGTCTGAGGAATTCCCACAGTCCAGAAATGAGGCAAACAGGAAAGCTCATAAACACACAGGCCCCCTACCAAAGTCTGGTCCTCAGTTCCCTGGTCCAATAAACATCAGCTTATGCTGTGGGCTGACGTCCCTCTTACATCTCTGCACACCTGGGAAAAATTACTGCCAGCATGTTTGAAGAAATACCTCATTTCCCCCCTGGTTACCATGGCTAACAGTACTGACAACAGGATTTTAAGGAAGGGCAGAACAGCAGAGTTGAATAGTTCTGTCAAGATTGTTTATTTGAGTCAACAATCAGGCAACAATTTATCATTTGTCTTTGTTATTCACAACTTATCACCAACTTCGGAAGGCAAAAAGGCGGTAATGCTCTTTGTGTGTGCATGTGTTTGTTTGCAGTGTTCTCAAAATATCATAAACAACCAGATAGATCTGAATGAAACTGAAAGTAATCAATGGATCAACTTCTACAATGATTGACCTTATCAAACACAAAAATGGCTATAACACCGTCAGTTTTACAGATTTTCAGCTAAAATTTAATGAGTTGGTAGCTGAGAGTCATTTCCAACTTATACTAAGAGCTAACTAATAATGCTAGATCTGATTTTAAAACTTTGTAATAAACTGTTAAAGTCAACTCTATTTTTTTAGAAAAATATTTGGTAACACTTTATTTGAAGGGGTGTAGTGACATGACACTGTCATAAACATGACATGACACCAATCATGAACATGAAGGAGGCTTCATGAATGTTTATGACTGCTGTCATTAAGTGTCATTAGGTAAATTATGACATGTTTAATGCAAAGTTGACATTGTTTAACATGTCTTGGTTATGACAACTTGACGTTGGTATAATATGATATATATACTGATATAGAAACGTCAAGAGATACTCTTTTATTGTATTTACAGAGGCATGTGATTGTATCATACCATATGATTTCTTGGTTAATGTCAAAACAACAGTCATAAACATTCATGAAGCCTCCTTCATTTTTATGACCGTGTCATGTCAGTTTTACGTACACCCCTCCATGAACCATGGGAATGGCTTTAATAAAACTTCAATAAAGTAATAATTTTGCAGTCAACCCAATTCAAGATGGCCACCAGCTCCATATGTTGGCAGTGCTTGTGCTGTTTTTATTGATCTAGCTTTGATACAGGGATGAAGTATCAAAGCTGTAAATAAAACCATAAACATTTTTGTTCTGCTTAAAAGGAAGTTTTGATTAACAGAAAAACTAACATCATGCAATTCTCTTTCCAGGTGTACTTTGACTGTGGTGCCAAGGTGGATGTGGTAGATGTTCAAGGCCTCATCTTGTCTCCTGGTTTCCCCTACAATTACTCCTCAGGCACACACTGTGTTTGGCAGTTTGTTGTGCCAGTTGATTACCAGCTTGTTCTGGAGATTTTTGACTTTGACGTATTTGAAAGCCATGACTCTGAAGCTCAGTATTCTGCAGTCTCTGGTTTTGAAGAAGATGCTGCAGAGAAGTTGACCACTTCCCGTGGAAGTTTATCTGCAGGGGGAACTTCACCTGCGGGTGCAGAGGCTATGCTTCAGAGTGCAGAGGATGTCTCAAAGGGTCAGCAATCCTCTCAGGAGGGTCAGTTCAAGCAGGTCGTGGTCCAGGAACAGTCAACAAAAATGGAGATAGCCAAAGTCTCAAATTCAGCAAAAAGATCTGCAGATTCTTCTTCGAGCCTGTCTTCACCACCCTCTACTTCCTTTGTCCTCCTACCAGGGGCTTTGCCTCCTGGAAACAACGCCATCACCTCCATCTCTTCATCTCACCAAAGGGAAAACCTCAATCCCAGTTCAAACCCAATCTCAGCTATGGAAGAGACCACCCATAGTTCACCACACTTCACTGAAACTCCAGCTGTGAGCCCTGAAACTCAACAGTCTGTACTTGATGCCTGTCCCCACGATGTCCTCTACATCTCAGACCTCATCACCTTTTCCTCCAGGTTTTGTGGGTCTAACCGTCCTCCCAGCAGCCAGCTGGTTTTTGGCTCAAACCAGGAGATGGTGGAAGTCATTATGGAGCTCATCACCACCACCCACTGGGGACGCGGTTTTGCTCTTCTTTTTCATTATCACAACTTGTCCGAGCCAGTGGGTGATCAGCATGGCACGTCTCCATCAGGCAGCAAAATGGACTCCCTGCTTGCTGCTGTGAGTGGAGCTGCCTTCTTCGCTTTGATACTTGCAAGTCTCCTCTGCATCATTTTCAGGTAACGTAAGGAAAAAAATAATAATTTAGGAGTTCTGACTAAAACCARCAGCAAAATTTAGTCCATCAGGTAGCTGATACAATTGTAGTCAGACATCCACATCACAAGATCTCATTATAGGCAAAAAATGTCTTAATTTTAGATATTTGAAATTTTATTTTAGCCATTCTTTTTCCCAGAGTGTAATATTCGTACAGTATACAATATTTTTGGATTATTGTGGTTTTTCTGTAATCCGTGCAGGGTCAAAATTATACATACTGGATCAATTATGGCTGTTCATTTATTAAAGCAGAGGTCTTCAACCCTGTTTCTCGTGACCAACTGTCTTGCATGTTTTAGCTCTTTCCCTGCTTCAACACACCTGATTCAAATAATTAAACTACCTACTCAGAATGCCATCAAGTTTAACAGATGTCTGTCAGTCATTGTTTCAGTCAGGTGTGTTGAAGCAGGGAAACATCAACACATCCAGGGCAGTGGGTCAAGAGGAACAGGGTTGAAGAGCTCTGCTTTAAAGAGTAAGTTTTTATCTTTACAAATTCCATCAACTTTTTTTTAGATTACGGTTGACTGCAGATGGTAGTGTCTCCTTGTCAGCTTAAAAATTTTATTTAGTGGTACTCATTGGATTTACCAGTACTCATCTGTCAATTTTAGATGAAAAGACGATAGGTAATGATGTCCAGGAACATTCCAGGAGCCACCAAAACTCAGTCCTCCCGTGGACTGGAAACTGCTGGAACACCAGTGTCACTGTTCAAAATGAAGAATATGGTGTGATCCCGAAATTACACAAAACTTTTTTGTGAATGGATAAATGAGTTTTAGCTTCTGGAATGGCCTTCCCAAAGTCCTTACCTCAAGTTCTGTTGGAATTTTTTTGATTATGCTTAAAAAACTAGGTCTATGCCAGAAAATCAGCCAATTAAAATATATTTTGCAGATTCTGCCAAAGTGAGTGGTCAAATATCAGGCATGTACAACTTACTAAAGGATATTACCCAACTATTACTGAGGGGTGTATTCATATTTTTGAGTCTATATGTATAATACTGGACCTGTGTGGATCTAAGAAGGTCCACAGTAAATTATAATTTGTGCACCCAAATCTAATCTTAATCACTGAAGTTGGATAATCATTCGGTCCGAAGTTACAAAATGATTAAAAAAATTAATTAACGGAAAGTCCCAAATTAATAAGAAATGTATCCCCATCATGAGTGTAATTCTTTGAAAGTAATTGTACAGGAGATCGGTATGTGTCTTGAAACAATCTGTTTTTAGAAAAGAGACTAAATAATATGTTTTTAAAGGCAAGGATTCTAAAGGGATTGAAGGTAATGTTTCACAACTTAGTTTCAGACAAACATTCTCAGCATATCATTGTTAGTTATAGTTACCGTAGTTAGACACAGAAGGTAAACCAAAGTGACTGGTCTGGATGTTAACTCGTCTTTCAGGTAGTGCGTCACTTTGTCTGTAATGTGACATTAAGTGAAACATAGCTGGGCTTTTTTATTGATTTCTTTGACCAAAATGTTGTCATTCCTATGATATCATTCATAATTTTGTTCAGCACATATTGGAAAATGTTAAAGGTGGTGTATTATGCAAAATAGACTTTTTTGAGCTGTATATCAAGTAGGGATGTCCCGATACCACTTTTTCACTTCCGATACGATACCGATATTACAACTTTGAGAAATGTCCGATACCGATATTGACCGATACCGATATTGACCCGTTACTGTAACAGTGCAAGTCACACACTTTTACCTATTTTGTAATGTAAAATCTTAGAAAAGTCTTGATCAGATCAAACAGTGAAAAAGAGTAGGTATGAGAAAAACTGACCCATTTATTTTAAACCAATGGATCACATACATTTTACACTGAAGAACATTATACAATTTAATAAATAAAATAAATTACAATACCCTGACAAAAATAACATAATAAAAACAAAATGTACTTTTACAGTGTAAAATAATTCAAAATCACTCCAGTTATTTTTTTTACCATCTGTCAGCCTTGTGCTGCTTTATGGTGGAAAAAACTGAAGGTGGGGACAAAACAAAACCCCACATCATTGTCTGTTTAAAGTTAAGAGTCCACAGCTCCAGTTTTACTGATTGTAACTAAAACAACGTGATCATTGCACTTAATCTTCAATCAAACAAGTGTGTAAACAGATTAAACATCACTCTAATAACAAGAGCAAAAAATAAATAGTAAGAATTAGTTATTTAAATTGATAGCTACCTTTCTTAGTGCTAAATTTCCACTTTCTATAGTCTGAGCATCATGTGGAGATTAGCCTCTCCTGCAGGGAGCAGTTTTTATCACTGCTCTCGTCATGTCGCGCTTAAATTTCAAAACAAAATCTGCGCTCTCCTTTCTTCTGTCCATCAAGARCTAATCCACGGATGTCAAAACAAGCGTGCTGTCCTCGCTTCTGCCCGCTTAGAATCACCGACCGGACCAGAGAGGAGGTTCCGAAACAGCGCGGCTGTGTGCGGTCACTGGACCGAGGCTGAACCGAGCCGAACCGCAAAGCTGCTGCCAGGGTGGAGAGTAGTTGTCGCTCCGGTTTAAAACGTTCACGGTTCTGTGTTTCCCCTCGGAAAACTTGTGCGTGACAACTTTACACTTAGTTTCAACTCTGTTTCTGATGAAAATAAAAAGTTCTGCTGCCGACATTCTTGCTAACTTGTTAGCGCTGCTGTTGTTGTGATCACGTGAGCGCTACAAGCAGGATCCAAGCTCTGCTGGATAGAAACACTGGAGTGGAGTCAGTGAACTGCTGGAACGGACTGCTAATATCGGAGCGCTTATATCGGACATTTTTTATGCAGGCCGATAAAATCCGATACTCGTTTTTTGGCTGATATCGGACCGATATCCGATATCCGATATCGATATCGGATCGGGACACCCCTAATATCAAGTTATATCATTCCCTCATCAAAAATATACCCAGAGTGTTGCTTTGACTCATTCATGCATGTTTGAGATGTTTGAGCCATGTGAAGCTGACTAGAAGAGTGCTGTTACAAAACACCGCCTGCTTGCACAAAGCTCCTCCCTGGAGCACAGTCCCCAGCTGAACTCCTGCCCCACAGAGTACACCCCCCACCCCAACACATGCTGAAGTGGGGGTGTCAGAAATGGTAGGTGGTTCTTAAAAGACAGAGACCAAATTCTAGGTGTTTAGACAGGATATGATGCAAAGTCTATTTTATTTTTGATAAACAGTATACAGCTTTTTTTTGTAACAACTGAAGGTAACATAGTCACTTGATTTTTGGTATTAAAATGAACTATGTGCCTGGAAAATGCAGGATATGCCCCCTTTAACAGTGGGTCATTCTAAACTGTAGGTGCATGGCAAACAAAATATCAGAGTACTGTATTCACATGGGGAGCATATTATTAGCAGGTTGATGTTAAAGTTCTCTTAGAAGCAAAGCCTTGTTCTAAAAAAGGTGCCCTTATCTTTTAAAGATAAAGAAGGTTTAACTGAGGACTAAATATTCCCAGGAGAAAATTCACAAGTCTTACATTCTCATGACTGAAAATGGGTTGGTCTGAAAAAAAAAATAAATAAAAAAATTGCACACAAATCCACAAACTAGGGCCTACACAGTCACAACTGTGTTATGTTGACTCAGCTGGAAGCCTCAGGCCCTGATGTGGTGACCCTTGGTGAATTAGCTGGCTTTGGCTGCAACTGTGCGGCCTGCTTGATGTGGAGCATTCTCACCATGGACAGAGGGGCGTTCAAGGTGCAGCACCTGGCATCAATTCCAGTGCACAAAAACAGAAAGGCGGCATGAAAGTAATGGGCGGGTAATTGAGGGAATAAGGAACAAGAAGGAGAGGTTGCACTGTGTGAGTTCAGAGGCGATAGCATTGTCACGCAGTCAAAAGGTGTAATTTACAAGCTGTGCCCAGCTTCCATCCCCAAGGACAATAAACACAAGCTGAAGGGGGAAGTTTGAACAGCTGTAATACTATCTGTTCTGACAAGCTGACTGCTTTAACCTACTGCTTCAGACTGATTTGAAGGKTTAGATTTGCACTTATGTCTGTCCTCAGCTTTCCTTTACAATCAGTTTGATTTGATTTGCGTTAATGTGACTTCTAACTTATTGTCTCCAACTCAACCAGCAGGCCTAATAAATCTCCACAGATTGTTTTTTCTTTCTTTGTTATTTGTAGCAGGGAAATTAGAAACACATGTTCAATAAAATGGGAGTGTAATTAGCGAGAACAACACAAGTCATTCAGGATCAAGGAAATGCATTACCATGAAACACCAAACTCACACAGTAGCTGTTTTTTCCCCTTCTTTAATTGTTCCCTGTTATTCTAAGGGAGTTCATCAAAATCACGGGCAACTAGCCAGGCAGTTCAGGCAGAATCTTAAATATCGCAGAGTTTTACTCCTTCAAAATCAACCAGGGATGTAGGAGAGCATCAGCAGGGGTGACTGTAGTGAACTCATTTAGCTGTTCATTCAGCCATTTTTAATAAGAAGCTCATGTGTTTTGGCATGGTTCACTGGTTTGAATAAGTGTAAAAACAAGKTAGAAAATAGCTGATGATATAGCATCAGACAGATATTTCAGGAAAACACTATTATAAACATGTGGGTTCCACTTAGTTTTACAAGAGACCTAATAGCATTAGTCAGATGAGTGCATGTGGAGAACTGGAAAATGCCTTTAGGTGAAGAGAAGGTGATAGTTACTGGTGAGTTTAGTTGGAAGGTTTCATAAATCTGTGCTGTGTTCAGCATCGGATGTTAGAAGCTTTAGAGTAGGCTTGACACTCATCTGTGTGAATCCAAGTTTGTGGCGCATCATCACAAACACCCCAACAGAACAACTTCTGAGTAGAAAAAGCCACGAGTGTGTGTACTGCATGCTTACAAGAGAGATTATAGCTCCTGCTAAACGGGAAAGTGTCCATTTGAACATTTCTGGTTTTAGCACCACAGTGGGTTTTATTCATGAAAGAACACAGCCAAATGTGGAGAAACCCAGAATAACCAGAGCAGTTTTTCCACATACATGTTTGTGATTAGAAATTGAGCTGATTTAGTGGGTTTTTTTTGTTTTCCAGACCCAAAATGTGTCCTAAAAGAGCGAGTTCCTCCGCATCCAGCACTTCTGAGGTACAGAAACTGCCACAATCTTTTTTTATTTGGTTCAGCATATTCTCACTGGTCTTCTTTTGGTCATTTTGAAACAATGGCTACTAATCTATGTGATGTCCTGAAAAATGCACAAAAGGGACAATTTCTAGCAATAATGTTTTTCTGGATATATATAAAACCAAATAAACTTCTAAATCTTTAAAACTAGGGTGAGAGGCTCTATATTCCAGATGTTAATGATTAGACTTCTCTGGAACTCAAAGATGGACACATATTTATTTTTATTTTCCTGACATCAAGGTGCCTGTTGTTTCTTTTTTGTAGAGGTGTGTAGGGTGTGTGTATGTGGAGGGGCTGTGTTAAAAAATTCAACAAAAACTACCTTTACTTAAAAAGGTTTTAAAAAGTGTCCAAATGATGTGCTTTTCAAAAAAAATATTTATCAGCTTATTTCTTCATTTGTCTTCTAGCATTTTCTTTCACATTGCATCACCTTTTATTTGTAGACATCATCTGAAGGAAGATCAAACATTTGCTTGTCCAAATAGATTTGCTTTCTCACTTCAGTCCCTGTTGGTTTCTCTCCACATGGGTCTTTCTGCTATCCCCTACCTGCCTTCTTGTTTCCCCCTTTGTCTTTTTTTTGTCAGACATTCCTCTGAACACGGAGCTTTATCTGGGATCACTGAACATTTGTTTTTAATATTCTTCACCAGAGAGGCCAACAAGGTCTACTTCTACTCCCCACAGAGGCATCCCAACTTAGTTTCACTCCAGGTCACAGATTTCAAACTGAATTTGTTTAATAATACAGTATTTGTAAAGCCAACTTTAAAGCCTTATTATCTTGATCTGTTTTGCTCTGGTAGCAGTTAGATTGTATCACTTTGATTTAATCTTTTCAGTCAAAGGAATGTAAGATCAAGGTAAAAAGAGCATTTAATTTAAAGGCAAACTAGGCTGAGTAACACTTTATAGAGTAAAAGCTCCAACTTCACTTGAGTCTGAGGGCTGTAGACAACCGATCTGATGAGGTTAAACAAAATACGAGTGTTTTTTCTGATATAGTCAGTATTTCAAAATACAGCTGGTCACACACAACTAAAGAGTGGTGACCCCTCTAAAACATCTTTTATTTTGCTAGCAGACAGACAGGGCTGACTCAAACAATAATGTGAGTTTTAAAGTCCTACACCCACCGTTTTTCATATTACACATCCAGCGACTCTGTATCGGTCTGTTGTTGAAAAGGGAGCTGAGCTGTAAGGTAAAGCTCTCTGTTTACCAATCAGTCTACGTTCCTACCCTCACCTATAGTCAGGAACTTTGGGTAGTGACCAAAAGAACATGATTGTGGATACAAACAGTCTAAATGAGTTTCCTCCGCAGGGTAGCTGGACTCTCCTTTAGAGATAGGGTACGAAGTTCAGTTATCTGGGAGAGACTCAGAGTAGAGCAGAGTAGAGCTCCTCCACATCGAGAGGAGCCAGTTGAGGTGGTTTGGGCATCTGGTAAGGATGCCTCCTGGACGCTTCCCTATGGAGGTGCTTCAGGCATGTCTAACTGGGAGGAGACACAGAGGAAGACCCAGGACACGCTGGAGCGACTATGTCTCTCGGCTGGCCTGAGAACACCTTGGAGTCCTCCCAGAAGAGCTGGAAGAGGTGGCTGGGGAAAGAGAGGTCTGGGCTTCCCTGATCAAGCTCAAGCTGCTGCCCCCGCGACCCAACTTCAGATAAAGCGGAAGATAGTGGACGGATGGATATATCCAGCGAAATATGATAGAAACATAACGTGGCAAACATTGAAAAGTAACACAAACTGGTTAAGAAAATGTCACTTTTGTGACGATTTTAAACAGTTGCATTTCCACCTTCACTCCCATGTAAGGGATGTGGCAGGATGCCCCGACATTCGCCCGGAGATGCTGAAGGCTCTGGGTGTTGTGGGGCTGTCATGGTTAACAGATCTCATCAACGTTGCACAGAGGACTGGGACAACTCCTGTGGAGTGGCAGACCAGGGTGATGGTTCCCATTTTTACAAAGGGAGACCGAGAATGTGTTCCAGCTATCATGGGATTACGCTTCTCGCCCTCCCCTGGAAAGTATACTCCAGGGAGGTTCCGATCAATCGTCAAACCTTGGATTCAGGAGTAGCAGTGTGGCTTCCATTCTGGTCATGGAACATTGGACCAGATCTTTACCCTTGCGAAGTTGCTAAGGGGGTCGTGGGAGTTTGCCTCTTCAGTCTACAAGTGTTTTGTTGACTTGGAGAAGGTTTATGATTCTGTCCTGTGGGGGGTGCTGCGTGAGTATGGAGTGTCTGGGTTGCTATTAGGAGCGATCCAGTCCCTGTATAATGAAAGCAAAAGCTGTGTTCGCAATCTTGGCACAAAGTCAAGCTCAGCACGGGTTGGACTCCTCCAGGGCTGTCCCTTGTCTCCGATCCTGTTTGTAGTGTTTATGGACAGGATCTCAAGGCACAGTCCATGGAGAGGTTGTCTAGTTTGGGAACCATAGGGTCTCATCTCTGCTGTATGCAAATGATGTGGTTCTGTTGGTTTCGTCATGTCAAGACCTTAAGCGTGGACTGGGGCGGTTCACAGCCAAGTATGAAGCGGCTGAGATGAGAGTCAGTTCCTCTAAATCTGAAGCCATAGTTCTCAACTGGAAAAGGGTGAAATGCCCCCTCTGGGGGTGTGGGGGTGGTTTTGCCTCAAATGGAGGAGTCTCCACTGGGTGTCTTGTTCATGAGTGATGGCAGGATGGAATGGGAGATGGATGTGTGGTTTGGGGACTCATCCTCAGTAAGGGTGTTGCTTAGGTCATTTATATCCATTTATTTGACTAAGTCTGATCAGCTGTGGGAGCCAACTGTAAAGGGACTGCAGACAAACATGCGCGCATGTGCACACACACACACATACTATGTCTCTCTATCCTTGTGGGGACTTTCCATTGACTTCCATTCATTTTTTTAAAATTTTATATCCTAACCCTGACCATTTACCCCTAAAGCTAACCTCACAGGTTACCTGACTCTAACTAACCTAAACTCAATTCACACCTTGATCCTAAATCTAACCCCCGCACCCAAAATCAGCTTCCAAAGTTGTGGGGACCGGGCTTTGGTCCCCACAAGGAGCATCTGGTCCCCACAAGGCTGCATTTTCCTGAG